AATTAAACTCAACCAAATCTCTTATTGAATAAGAGTTATTCTAAAATAAGAATACTTAAAACTAGAAAGTAAATAAAACTGGAAACCTTGGATCTTGGACGCTCGCTGCGGCTACCATTTCCACCGTTGCGGCTATCACTCTTTTTCTACGTTTAGCGTTGCTCCTTAGCACACGTTACAGCAACCACTTCTGTCGTTGCAGTGACTGTCATCGCTACAATGATGCTTTTTGTCGCTGTAGCGACCAGGCGACATGTCTTCTTCAACATTTCGCTGCAACTTCCCTCTTCTGCCAAAGATAAGTTCAAGCTCACCATAATGGGTTCACACTTTTAACAATTTTTATAACCAGAATTTATTCAAAACAAAATTACTACAAGAATAGAGAAATGGTTTAATTCTGTAAACAAGAGAATAAGGTTAAAACAAATTGTTTTAGATGAGTTTTCAGAAGAGCATTATATTTCACAATTGAGATAGTAAGTTGAACAAAGTTGAAGTTGTATTGTCTTAATTTAGACAAAAAGTTATTAGGTTTTTATAACTAAATTACCCATGTTATTGTTGAGCCTTTTATTTTAGTTGAGTCCATCCATGCATGAAATATTTTATATTGCTTACTCTCTACTAACTAATATTGCTTAATCAAAATGTATTGAAATATAGTGTTCTGGTCTAATTGTTGGTCTCCCATTGGTTGTGAATCAAATTAATTTATTTGTATGGTTTCATCCTTTATCCAAAGTATATTCAGAGCTATAAAATTTGATAAAAGAAATGGTTGTTTACAAGTAAATTCAACAAAATAAGGATATTGCACTTTCTTTCCATACTCATATATATGTTGGTGATCTGACTGGAAATTTATGCTCTCACCATTGAATAAAAATTGAGGGATCGCTCATAATGTTTTATAGTCGCAAAGATGAAAATTTTCAGTGAACTTCGAAGAATCTAAGCGACCAACCATCGAAAAAAATTCAGTCACTGTCGAAAATTTTGATGATTGACAGGAAAGAATTGGACACCAATGAATCCCTTTATTTGTTTTCCCTATTCATTATTTGTTTTTAAAGGACGAGGAGGATTACTGATTGGATTTGATCGGACTGAGACCTTCAATTAGGAATCTAAACTTGAACACCGATCAAAACATGTCGTCATTAAATCGATCGCACTTATGGTCATCACCAAAATAAAGTTCCGATATTCAAGTCTACATCATTATAATGTTTTCCCAAAAACCTGCGTCAATAGAAATGAAGATTAGTTGTTAATCCTCTTCTTCATGACAGGAGAGATCTTAATTACCAATAATCCTTGAGCCTCTTACTCCATAATAAGGTAAATCTTACCAATTAAAGGATCCCTGGAGAACATTTTTACTTGTAAAGGTGGAGCAGATTTCGCTTTAGCTGTTGGAGAGAATTAAACTCATGACATAATGAGACATATAAAGTAGAATGGATGGAATACTCGGTTATACAGTCTACATTCTTCTGTTCATTGATCCATAAAAATCAAAACTTGGGAAAGATTGATGGCACTAGGATGCAAATCCACATCAATGTTATGAGATCTGTCCTTTGATAACTTGATACTTTGGTAGAGTTAACAGCGGGAGTGCTGGCTCCAGGAGGGTGTAAAAGCAACAGAAATAGAGCAAACGACATGTTCCCACCTAAGGTTTACCGAAATCCAAGGTTAATACTCTTGGTTTGATTTATTCCAGATACCCACCCTTAATCTAACACTGTTTGTTTTATTTTAAAAGGTTAAGGGTAAAAGTGTCAAAACCCATTTCTCTCAACACACCACCGTTGACTGCTTTCCTTCTTCTTCTTCTCTTTTCCTTTTGCCTTTTCCTTTTCTTTTTATTTTTCTTCTTCTCCTCTCGTCCAGACTCCAGATTCTTTCTCTTTTTCTTCTTCTCCTTTTTTCTTCTCTCTTTCTTCTTCTCTTCTCTCCACCCAGATTCTTCATTTTCTTCTTTTTCTTCTCCTCTTTTTCTTCTCTCTTTCTTCTTCTCTTCTCTCCACCAACTGCTTCCCCTCTACCACTGTCGGGGAAAATGGAGGTTTTGGATGTGGAAGGGTTGTGGTGTTTGTGGTGATGATTAGGACGGCCAACAAAGCCGAGATCGAGCCAAATGGGACCGAAATCGGGTGGTGGTGAGGGATTGCAATGGCGGTAGATGGGTGGAATGGTGGTGGGTGGTGGTGGTGGTGGTGACTTTGGGGTTTCGGGAGGCAGAGAGGAGCGTGGTTATGGCTACGGCTGTGGCTGTGGGAGGGAGAGAGAAGCGGCAGAAGAGAAGAAGGGGGAGAAGAAGAAGAAGACAAAGATCGGGTGGTGGTGAGGGATTGCAATGGCGGTAGATGGGTGGAATGGCGGTGGGTGGTGGTGGTGGTGACTTTGGGGTTTCGGGAGGGAGAGAGGAGCGTGGTTGTGGTTGTGTTGTGGCTGTGGGAGGGAGAGAGAAGCGGCAGAAGAGAAGAAGGGGGAGATGAAGAAGAAGACGAAGATGGGAGGGTAGTTTGGTATTGCTCTCTTCTGAATCCAACAGTACTAACACTGTTGTTTAATGGCAATCTGGAATAAATGAAACCATGGTACTACTTTTGGATTTCGTTAAACCTCGGGTGGGAATATGTTGTTTACTCACAGAAATATGGGGAAAGTGGATTTGAAAGAGAAAAATACGGAAAGAGTGATTCGATAAGAAACGTGGATGACTTATTTAGACAGTCTGTCCTCTCCTGATATCACTTTGCATTTGTCCAAAAGAAATTGCGATGCTGAGTTTACCAAAGAAATTAAACTCTGGCTTTAAATAAATATGATGGATCCATTGACTTTGTAAAACTGTATAAGTTGCAGTATATTTGCCAGCAACCACACTGGAGCCGCAAACTCGTGCGCCCATGTCAGTAACTCCCCCACGTGCATTTGTTTACTCTCTCTGTTCTCGATACTGTCCTTCTCAAAACTCATTGCTCCTCTTTGTCCATCCAAAAGTTTTATATTTTTATTTTGATTTTAAAGTTTATTTATTTGGTCTTATCAGTTATGTCTTGTTTGTCGCATCACAGATTCACAGGTGAAAGAATAATTAACAAGTTTTCTTTTCCAATGTGCTTCCCCATCGTGGTTACTTTTCCTCTCCATAACCATTATATTTCTGCCCCCTTCCCAATTTCAGTCACACAACACGCAGGCCTTCTCTGCATGTATTTATTACACATGTGTAATTATAGTCTGCCATAACCTCCATCCACACCATAATTAAACTATGTTAACGGGGAACTTGATGGAGATTCAGACCCTCGAGGCCTGGAGCTGTGGAGACAGTTGGATAAGATTTCAAAGATCATTTTATTGATATTTGGGGAACTTAAACTTAGGAGTTTACGAAACATTTTTTTACTCTTTTATTATAAGACAAGACGGTTTATATTAAAGATTCTCTTGTACAAAATTAGGTTTCTACACTTGGCTAGCATAGTATTATTACTACATGACACTAGTGAATTAAATTTCCTTTATAAACTGTATTAATTGGTAATCTCATGCTCTTGTACTGAATATTTTACAACTGTGCTTGACTTTTTATGCTATTGCCATAGCCAAAATCCAAATTAATTAATAATAATACTACTCAATATATGCTTTGGAAGTCTAGCAATTAGGTTAGATACATATAGTACCTAGTAACTGTTTTAAATTAACTATGTTTTTTTTTTTTTTCTAAGATCTAAATGCATAAATTATAGTATCATAAAATATTTTCAAAGATTAAAATGATAGTCAAATTACATATCGAGATCTTCATTAACTATGGCATAAACAAAACCACCGCCTTGTTCATGTAAACTTCAAAAGAGTAGTCAATGAATTTTAAAACTTGGCACATGCTACCCAATTGGCCAATTATTCTAACCAAGACCATACTAATTAATCTAAAAGTATACATATTTATATAAAATATATAACATAGTTTTTAATTTATGGAGGAATAGAGCCAGCATGTGATTGATGCATCCTGATTTACCAACTCACATGGTCCATAAAGGTCAAATTATAACGACACTAGGTAAAGATTGTCCACTATAGCTAGATTTTATATAATAATGTTTTATTAAATGACCTATGGACAATCTTTTTCCATTTAGAACTGCGTACCCTTATTAGACAAATCAGAATGCCATTTATAGAGTTGATTGAATTTCAACTTTGATTCCATTATCACATGTAACCATTCACATCCAACCAAGATAAGCAACCATCATCTTCTTTTTTTTTTTTTTTTTTTTTTTCCATGATCGAGAGTGTCTGGATCAGTTTGTACGTATCTCAATTAATCTCTTGGGTCCTGAAGTGAATGACCAATAAATCTCCTCAGTGGCCACCCCTATTAATTCTTAAGAAGACTCGAACTCAAAAACCCATGTTTGGCCATTTTTTTCTTTTATCATCAAACTACCCAGTGGTGGTTAGCAACCATCATCTTTCTATCTAACACTATATGCCCAACTTAACTTTTGCAATCCCAAATTTATAAATTAATGTTCACTTATTATTTGCCATGTCCATGTAATTTAAAATTTTTGGATTATTTGAAAATTGGTTATTAGGCAAATTACCATAATACCATTCACCATATGTAATACACTAGCCGCAACTCGCTAGAGCAAGGGTAGAGATGTCAAATGAGTTGAGTATGACAATATAATATAAAGATATATGTAGTTTTTTATAATAGCATAAAATTTGTACCATATACTTACAGGATGTGACACACCATAACCTAATGTTTTATTTACCAAAGAATATGTGATGAAATTTAATTGGTCCATTTTATAGGCAAGCTTGGTGTTGGTGAAGCTATTAATAACAAATCACCGGTCAATCTCCCAAGTCCCAATCCATTATATATTCAACATAATAGATCAACACGTACTCTAGAGTTAAGGCGGGTATTTTCATTTTCTAAAACAGTTTTAAGTTTTGACTACATAAAGCTTCCCGTCTCGTCCTGATCCTGGCTGCAAGAAGAAAAACCTTTATGAATAATCAAATATTTATGGGCTTAAAAATCAAGTTTAAACTAGTGATGATGGCCCAATTTCAAACATTATTTTGTTACACTGCAAGCCCATTCTCTATGATTTGGGCTAGCAATACCCGAAAAGTAACCAAACTGTCTAGATCCGTTTGCAAGCACATTAACTAATTCTTAGAATTCTTTGAATACTTTACAAACCTAAAGAACCAAATAAGTCACAAAGTTATAGGTGACCCTAAAGTTCGAACCCAAAAAGTCAATGAAAAAAGTAAACCTACTTGACAACCATACCGACCGCTTGAAATAAAAGTATAATGTTTTAGAACAATGAAGAGTTGTATTTGCAACAAAAGACTTCTTTGAATGACAATGAAAAGGTTTTACTTTATCGAACTTGCTAAAAACCCCTTTGGAATCGTAAAAAGTTAATAGGGGTAACCGGGTAAGGGTAAAACAGTTCAACAGGATGATGTTTAAAGGACTATCCTTCTGCGGATACTAGGCGATCAGTCTACTTTAAATATGCATCTTACCACACATGAATGCACATCGTCAGAGCCGCACAATAGCTCTCCATTCATTGTGTCTACAGCTTCAAATGCTCCCCCTCCATTACTCCTCTGCATATTATTAATATTTGATCAAATCTTAATCTCTGTTTATTAAATAAACCTTTAAAGATGAAAAATGTTACATACTCTATAATATATAGTCCACGGCAACAAAGTTTGCCCACCGATTTCCAGCCGCACCATAACATGTGTGAAGCATATTAATCAAGTCCTCTGAATTTTCTCTGCAACTTAATTGCTTAACAGGAACTGATCCAAAGTGATTTACAAACACCAAAGATTTGGTTTTGTCATCGAGCTTCGCTGACTCTGCACGATTACTACAATTCCCAGGATACATTCCATTATTCCCATCTGCAAATTGTTATTAAATAGATTTCATTACTTTTACCATAAAAGAGAATGTAATTGACACAGAATTTTCTGACATTTTCATGTTTACATTGATTTTCAACCATGTAGTTCCATTGATAAGCTATTCCTTCACTTTCTTGCTTAGACTTTTTTGAAGTGAAGACAACAAGTCTTTGATTACTGGCAACCATGTCTTGAACTAGTGGCCAATCTTGGCCATTTTGAGGCATATTTGAGACAGGAAACCAGTACTTCATCAAACCCGATTCATTAAAAACTTTGGTCAATCCATTTGGGGTTTCAACATAGTCCTCTAAAATCAGTGTTACGATCTCTGATGGATTTGAAGACAAGAAGGTTTCTATCTCCTTAAAAGTATCCCTGGCAGGTTCCTATTAAGCAAACACATTATAATTAACACAATTAAATTAAAATAATCTTGACTAGGAAATTAAAAACATCACTTACAAATGCAGTAATTTCGTGGCATTTTCCCTTGAAAGAGTGGCACAACCATATGTCCCCTTGAAAGTCATATGTGTCCAACATCAAGGCTCGAACACCATTCTGCAGCTCGGATAAATTTCAATCCAATTCAATGGAGTATACATAATCTGTAAATGAAGTAATCTACAGAGAAGACTCACATTAAGCTGTTGTGTTATGTTGTCTTCTTGATTTGTAAATGTAAGTCTAGGAACTCCCGTGCGGGGTGGCTCTCCGCTAATGGCAAAAGAATTGTGGGTTGTCAAGAATGCATATTTGTTGAATGGCAAAGAGTTGTTCTGCAACAAAAGAAGTAAAATATGGCAAATTCAAACCATCAACATGAAAATATTATAATTGTATCAATAAATCACCTATATATATAATTTACCACAAGCTTAAATTGATCTGTAACAGTTGATCTAACGCATCTTGAACCCTCAAATTCTAAAGAACATGAAAAACAAAAGAGTCCAGCCTCGCAGTCTCCATCCGACGAGCATTTATCTCGTAGCTACAATCACAAACAGTCTATCACACTCAAATCACAAAACTCATACAGAAAAAGCAAATGGCAAAGAGTTGATCATCTTCTTTTTAAAAAAAAAAAAAAAAGAAAGAAAGCATCAGACCCTGCATTGTCCATCAGAGCAAGCCGATGCAGTATCAGTAACACTGAAAAATACTGAAGTTAAAATTAAAAGAAAAGTTTTCAGACACGCCATTGGGTTTAGGAAGGCGTTACAGAAAGCTTTAAGCTGTGAAAGAGTTATGTTCATAAATAGGCATTGATATAATAATTTTGAATCATTTTATGGGGTATAGTTATTTAACCTAAGCATCCCTTAATTGGAAGGGTTGTAATTGTTTGGATTCTGTATTAGATATAAAAAAGAAATTTACAGTTGCCATGGAAATTCAAAAACACGTAACACATTGTGGCTCTGGCATTTTGGTTACGTCATTGTTACTATTTCTATACAGGAAACCAGGCAAGATGTCGACGTTGTCTTTATGACAGAATACAAGATTAATTATTGCCATAATAAAGATGAGCTAATTAAATGAGTTATAATCCTTGTCCATGGTTCTCTCATTAAACGTTTATGTTATATAAAAGAGCAAACGACATTTTCCCACCCAAATAATAGATTAATGACATTTTCCCACCTATAAAATTTTAAAATACCACTTTTCTGATACCTTTTAATGACACTTTTCCATTGACCTTGCTGATCGCCAGTCGATTATGGTATCTTTACGACCTCAAACCACCACCATTCTCTTCCCCTATCATCACTCATCAAAATCCTTCAAACCTTACATCTGTTAACCTTGTCAATCGTCAACAATCAAGCGATTATGGTTTATACAACCACCTCTCCAAAGTCATATTCCAACTAATGAAGACCACCAAAATCCAATCTTACACCACCAAAAGACTCATCGGCCTCCCCACTTTAAAAACCAAAATATCATGGACCAAGTTTGCTCTCTATTCGCCGCCGAATCGGAAAGTGTATTTTTTTTGGTGGAAAAGTGTCATTAAGTCATTATTTGAGTGGGAAAAAGTGTTAACTCTATATAAAGTATCAAAATTTTATATTGAATAACAATTACAGTTCTGTCTTCCCAATTTTCTTCATGTGCAATTAATTTTTATATTCTCATATTTAATTTTAATATTAGAAGGATGTTACAATTACCAAAAATAAAAAATAAAAATTGTACTTTATTATTACTCTCTAATTTTCTAATTACTTAGAGTATCTCCAAAAGACTCTTTATATAACCCAAACTCTTTATTATAAAGAGTTTATCCATAAAATATAAATTAGAGAGTGAGTTTGGCTCTCTACATTTAGAAAATCAAATTTCACTCTCTATCCTAATTTTAATTAATAAACTACAAATTTCTATGCATTTTATTTATTAATTCTCTCTCCCATTAAGTCTCTTTCTTAAAAATAAAGAATATCTTCATTAAATTTAAAAAGTCTATTAGATTTGAATAAAAATTGTGTTCTTTATATTTTAAAATTAATGAAGATACTCTTCATTTATATGAAAATTGCTCTTCAAAATAAAGAACATTATTGAAGATGCTGCATTAGTTGTTTGAACAAACAAGATTTTAATTTAATTCATTAATGTTTTTCAGTAATAAGATGCTAGTGGGAAATATAAGTACCAATATGAATTTTTATACGAGAAAAGAGAAAATTTAATCAATATAATTATTTTTTTTATATTTGAAAGAAAACCTAATTTTGTAATTTCCTTATATTTTTGTTATTTTTGTCAAACTTTGTAAAAATCTAAATGACTAATGGTAAGAAACTTGGACCTTCCATCCGTTTTTACGTCGCATTGACTAGGACAAGCAATGGTCAATCAGTATTGGTTAATATGTTTGTACATATATGGATAAAACTGTCAAATTTTAAAGTTTCCTTAAGAGCAAATTAATTTTTCCCACCCAAGGTTTGGCAAATCTACGTTTCTCACCCTTAGTTTCATAAATTGCAGATTCTCACCCTTAAAGTAACAGATAACTGTTTAATTTAACAGTTAAAAGGGTAAAATAGTCATTTCAAAAATAAAAATTTCAAAATAACCCTTCACTTCTCAAATTCACCCCATCGACGATTTCAAGCCATTCCGGCCTGTTTCTGGCACAATCGACTTCTCCTGACACTACCATTATAATCTCCTCAACCCCTACATCAAAACCCCTAACCTCTTCGCCTGATTGAACCCCCCCAAGTCGTCAGCTGTCGCTTTTAGTGTCAATCAGTGTTTCATCCAAATTTCGGCAAGTCCTGGCACCAAAAACCACCCTGGAGACCACCAATAGCATCGTCGGCTTCCCCCCACCAAAACCCCAACATCGCCTATTGCAATTGCCCGTCGATCGCCATCGCCTCTCCCTTAGGTTTTCGCATTTTTTTGCCCCTTTCTAACCAAATTCCGGCACCTTGCCGAGGTGTAATCAGGTGGAAAAGTTAGGGGTTTTGGTGAGGAGGATAAAGGGATGTTGATGGTGGTGTCGGGTAGGTCCAATGGTGCCAGAATCAGGCCGGATTCTTGTCTTAGCTGGGATGCTCTGGGGGTTATTTGAAACAAATTTGAGATGTGGGGGTTATTTTTAAAAAAATAATGGTGTTAATTTAAGGGTGAGAATTGCAATTTATGAAACCAGGGGTGGGCACGTAAATTCGCCAAACCTTGGGTGGGAAAATGTAGTTAACTCTTTCCTTAAGGGAGAACGACATTTTCCCACCCAAGGTTCGGCGAAACCACACTTTCCCACCCATCAAGTTTCAAAATGACACTTTCCCACCCTTTGTCAGGTTTTGTTAGTGTTTTCTGTTAATATTTTACTAAAAGACAAAAATACCTTTAAATAGTTTATTATAAATTAAAATTTAGTAAAGTGAAAGTCTTTACTCAAGTGTAAAGATACATTTTTTTCTTTTGTTTATTTAATTAATTAAGAATATTAACTATTAAGATTTTCTATGTTAATTAGTAAAAATGAAAAATATTATATTAGTAGATTATTGAATAATAGTGATGAGATATTTATGACATTATAAATAAATAAATATTAAGGTTAACTTTAAACAATTTTATAGTATTACTCTTAACTTTTTAGTTGGGGTTAACTATTTTTTCTTTTTTGACTTTTTAATATCTTACTTTTTGGCAAATTCAAAAATTAAAAAAAATTATAAAGTCAAATATTTAAAGGTATTTTCGTCTTTTCAATCAAATATTAACAGAAAAAATAACAGATTTTGACGAAGGGTGGGAAAGTGTCATTTTTTCAAACCTTGAGTGGGAAAATGTCGTTCTCCCTGTCCTTAATTATCACTCAGAATACGATCATGCAGAAATCATTGCAAATTACCTTTTGAAACCATAACACCGTTAATGACCTTGTTGAATGGCATAACTGTAAGTTCACCGTTTTATTTTAAATGATGATTTTTTGAAATCCCTCAAGTTCTTTTGGAAAATTAACTACCTTATATTTCAAAACTTATCACTTAACACCCCCCCCCCCCCCCCCCCCCCCCCCCCCCCCAATTACACCCAAAATATCCCTTACCATGTAAAGACTATTAATACCCTTTGTCTAATTACATATATTTTATTTTCTTATCGGTTTTTATTTTTTCAATTTTAATTTTAAATATCTAAAAATTGAAAAAATAAAGCTGAAAAAAATCTAAAATTTGGTTTAAAAAATTCTTCAGTATCTTTTATCTTATTATACTTCACTCTATCATTTTATTTTTTTCATTTTTTAGTATGTAATTTAATTAATTTATAATTTATAATTTATAATTAGACAAAGGGTACTATAGTAAAGTAATAATTTTTTGGATGCTTTTGTTACTTTTTGAAACCCTTAGGTTTCTTTGTATTTCCTCGAACCTTGAGGAGGAAATTGTCATAACCCAGAGAGAGGTTTGATTGGACTTTGGACAAAAGTCTGAAAGTCAGACAGAGGGTTATAGTTTTATACCCAGGAAAATAGGAAAAAGGGTAAGAGAGCGTTAGCTTATTGGTTGGTCTCTCAATCGTTAACGTCTCCTACCGAGAGTCGGCGCCTGACAACAGCCCAAAAATAAAGATGCCGACTCTAACTAAGCTCTATACAATGCAAGAAGCATCCCAACACAACACCAAAGACGATTGCTGGATCGTTGTTGATAACAAGGTATTTACGTTCCCCTATTCCTTTGTTTAGACCAATTCATTTACTTGATTTGTGGGTGGGTTTAATCCGGTTTTGGTTTCTGTGGGTGCACAAATCTGGGTTTGGCTGTTCTTGATTCTGGGTTCGCGTTGCTTTCCTATTCTTCGAAAATGAATTGTATTTTGTAGATGATATTGGTTTTTTTGTAAACTCTCAGCAGCTTTTGTAAATCACCGTGCTGTTCTAGGGAAGTAATGAAATCTTAACCGGTGAATCTACGTTTTAGAATGTGCAAGCATGCGTCCATTTTGTGCATTAGGTTCTATATGAGCTACTTGAGAACTACTGCCCATTTTGGCAATCTGTAGTATGGGTTTAATGAACAAACTTGTCATGAGGATTGACCATAATATTTTTTTGCACTCTGCTTCGATTAAGTAATGGAATTAAGTTTTTCTTGAGTTAAACATGTGACATGTTGTTCAGGTGTTTTGATATTAGGTTGAAAAATCTTTAATGTCGATAAGTAAAAAAACCAACAATAATATACAAGTGCTAACATTGTGTTTATGTTTCCTCCAATGCTATAAGCCGTTGAGTTGATAGTTCACCTCAAATGGAACTGGTTCTCATTTTGGGTCCCCTACCCTTAAATAATAACTAATTTTGTGCTTGCATAAGTGGCCTATATTGAGGCACGAATCAGTTACGTATATGTATACATACATAGTAGTTTGAGATTTATAATCAATTTAATGTGATTAATTTCATAGTTTGAATCGATTCTCTGAGATCTTTGTATCATGTATACTTTGTGAATCATGGTTGCAGATCTTTAAGGAATTTCAAATCATTTATCATAATAACACTAACCCCTTCCTTTATTTGACATTTTATAAATATTTCTTCAACCAATTGCAGGTGTATGATGTCACTTCATATTTGGAAGAGCATCCTGGTGGAGATGATGTAGTCCTTGCTTCAACTGGTATTTTTCTTATACTGTCCATAACATTTGTTGCTTGACTGCATCATTGAGTATTTCATCCATTTAATGATGTGAACTTTGACTCCATCATGAAGTTTTTAATTGAAAAAGTTATCTGTTACAATATTATAGCCATAAATCCTTGAATAAGACTGCTGATTGTAATGTCTTTGTAGCTAAAGATGCGACTGATGATTTTGAAGATGCTGGGCATAGTGAAAGTGCAAGGGAGCTCCTAGAGAGCTTTTGCATTGGTGAGCTTGACACATCTGCTCCAGCTATTCCAGAACTGGAAATTTCATCCAAGAAGCAATATGCTCAAAAGGTCATGAACTTAACCAAACAATACTGGACTGTTCCTATAGCTGTTGTTGGCATCTCAGTGGTGGTAGGCCTCTTGTACTTGCGCAAGAAGTGAAGCAATACAATATTTAGTTGCTGAAAAGTAATTGTTGTCACAAATTTTGAATAATTAGGAGATTGATTGAGAGAACTGGCCCATTGTTTGTAAAATTTACAGAGATTTGATTTGACAATAGATAAACATTACTATGTTGAGGATGGAATTGGATGAATAAAATATTTTGGGAAAGCAAAGATTATTTGGGGGTCAATGGAAATTTTATACTTGTTTCTTTTGAGAGTTGTGGCAGTAAATTGCCTTGAGGAAAAGCTTAAAGCTGTGGAGGAAATGCTGAATAATTGTGTTTTCAAACTTCCAGCCTCTTGGTAACTTTCTACTGATACGGTTAACTGTTGTGATGTTACTGATTATGAAACTGAATCCGATATTCCGATAGGACTTACATTGCAGGCAGTAATGTCTAAAAAAATCCTTGCAACAAGCCATTGATGCCATTTTGCTGGGATCCACCCGCTCTAATATAGTGATATTCACATAATATTCTGAATATGGATTACATTATGAGTAAACTTTTTCCCACCGTAGGTTTGCCTTAGTGACATTTTCCAATTCAAAAAGTTTCAAAATGACACTTTAGCACTCAAAGTTTATATTCAGTTAATTTCCAAAATACACTTCACATTCTCAATCGGCGTTTAACGAGTTACCAGGAGTCGGAGTAAGAGAGGTTTTGGAGAGGGGAGGCCTATAGATTGAATGGTGGTGATTGATTGAATATTTGTCGTCAGAAATTAACTAAGAATAAGAAACCATAGATTTGCAATGGTTGGTGATCGGCGAGAAATTAGGTGTTGGAGTGAGAAAAGTTTTGTAAAGATGAGACTAAATGTTCAAATGATGGAGACAAAGAGAATTTTTACTACCGTAATCAGTTTTGGATAGTAACGAAATATTAACTTTGGGTGAAAAAGTTATATTTTGAAACCTTTTGGATGGAAAAGTGTCATTAAAAGTCGTTTAGTCATTACATTATCTATAGTGATTGGAATATGCACCTTGCAATAAAAACTGCTTTTTATCTACCAATAATATTACACATACAGAGTAATGTATACAAAGTGATCTAGTTTCAATTAACATATCATTCATCTCTAATTAAATTAATTGAGTTAGACTTTTTTATATTTATTCCTTTATTCCTTTATTCTTTTTTTGTCATATTACATTATAAATATATATATTTTTGTATGCATATGATTATTATTTATCTATTGCGGAACGCTTTAAGTGCAATGTGAGTTGTTCTAAGAACCAGAATGAAATCATGAACTTTAGTATATACTTGTATAAGTTGTTATCAAAGAAAATCTTATTTTTGTTTAATTTTTTATATGAGATCAAAAACAAAGACCATGAGTTATGTTAAAGGTGTGTTAAGGAGAAAACATGAATCTACTTAATTTGAAGCAAAAAGTTTTTCTAAATATATTTAGAAAAACTTTACAGCAATTTCATAAGACAACCCACATAGATATAGTGAAAAACTCTCAGGAATCAAGTTCAATTGATTCTTAAATTTTATAATATTCAAAAGAAATAAATAACTTTATTACAAGGTTTTCATCCCAAACTGTAAGTTGTAAATTACACATGAAGGAATTTAAGTAAAAGTATCGTGGGCCGAAAATGACTGTATTGGTTTTGGCCAGTACAAGATAGGCCCAAAACAACAGTGAGATCGCCCATAGAAGTAAAATAAAACAGAAGAAGAAGAAGAAGAAGAAGAAGAAGAGGTTGTAAAATGGCGAATCTTCCAGTACAGAAGAACACGCTGTACGTAGGAGGATTAGCTGAGGAGGTAAACGAGGCTATACTACACGCTGCATTCATCCCCTTCGGTGACATTAAAGATGTCAAGACTCCCTTAGATCAGGCCACTCAGAAACATCGCTCTTTTGGCTTCGTCACTTTTCTTGAGAAAGAAGATGCATCAGCCGCCATGGACAACATGGATGGCGCTGAACTCTACGGCCGTGTTCTTACTGTTAACTACGCTCTCCCTNTCATTACATTATCTATAGTGATTGGAATATGCACCTTCCAATAAAAACTGCTTTTTATCTACCAAAAATATTACACATATAGAGTAATGTATACAAAGTGATCTAGTTTCAATTAACATATCATTCATCTCTAATTAAATTAATTGAGTTAGACTTTTTTATATTTATTCCTTTATTCCTTTATTCTTTTTTTGTCATATTACATTATAAATATATATATTTTTGTATGCATATGATTATTATTTATCTATTGCGGAACGCTTTAAGTGCAATGTGAGTTGTTCTAAGAACCAGAATGAAATCATGAACTTTAGTATATACTTATATAAGTTGTTATCAAAGAAAATCTTATTTTTGTTTAATTTTTTATATGAGATCAAAAACAAAGACCATGAGTTATGTTAAAGGTGCGTTAAGGAGAAAACATGAATCTACTTAATTTGAAGCAAAAAGTTTTTCTAAATATATTTAGAAAAACTTTACAGCAATTTCATAAGACAACCCACATAGATATAGTGAAAAACTCTCAGGAATCAAGTTCAATTGATTCTTAAATTTTATAATATTCAAAAGAAATAAATAACTTTATTACAAGGTTTTCATCCCAAACTGTAAGTTGTAAATTACACATGAAGGAATTTAAGTAAAAGTATCGTGGGCCGAAAATGACTGTATTGGTTTTGGCCAGTACAAGATAGGCCCAAAACAACAGTGAGATCGCCCATAGAAGTAAAATAAAACAGAAGAAGAAGAAGAAGAAGAAGAAGAAGAGGTTGTAAAATGGCGAATCTTCCAGTACAGAAGAACACGCTGTACGTAGGAGGATTAGCTGAGGAGGTAAACGAGGCTATACTACACGCTGCATTCATCCCCTTCGGTGACATTAAAGATGTCAAGACTCCCTTAGATCAGGCCACTCAGAAACATCGCTCTTTTGGCTTCGTCACTTTTCTTGAGAAAGAAGATGCATCAGCCGCCATGGACAACATGGATGGCGCTGAACTCTACGGCCGTGTTCTTACTGTTAACTACGCTCTCCCTGAACGCATTAAGGGTGGCGAGCAGGGCTGGGCGGCTCAGCCCAGTAAGTTCTTGTTTCCTCTTTCTACTTTTTATTTTATTCTTTATTTTTTAATTGGTTATTTGGGGAATTCTGTTTCGGATATTTGTTTCTGGAAGTTGAGTTGCTATTAATTCATTTTGGGGTTTAGGGTTTAGGTTGTGCTTTGTGTAGAAGCATATATTGATTAATTGTGACAAGTGAAAGCAAAATTTCTTTTAATAAAATGATAGGCACCAAGGGCTTTACCCCTTGGTATCATGTTTGAACAAAAGTCTTTTAATTATCTAAAAAGGATCACTCAAGCATTGTCATATAGGGTCGTTTTGTCGTGACGAGAAGAAGTCTAATATGTGCTGGGGATTGTATTGATTAAAGTTGTCCTGGTGAGCTTGTTTGCTTTTATGAAATTACAAACCAAGGAGAATTTAAATTTAGTTAACAGGACAAAAGAAAGGTGACACTGAGTTTCATACCATGCACGTAAGTGGCTGTAAAATCATTCCATAGGTTCCTTGGATGAGCAGAAGCTGCAGCAACCCTGTCTTGATGTTTCTTCAAAGATAGATAAAGGACTTTGAGCAACATAAGAAAAAAAGATATTGAGAGGGAAATTTGATTCTGTAGTTTCTCTGTGAAATAGATCTAATTTCAGACCTCTGTGACTACATTAAACAAAATATTTCCTTTTGTAGCTTATTTGGGTAGTTCATGTTGGATTTGGTTGAGGTACACATAAAACCAGGCCTTAAGCATATGGTTCATTGGTTTGTTGTTTATGTTTGAGAAAGGCTAGAAAATTTCACCAATTCCTTGATTTCTCATAGTGTCTGAATATTACTTCTATGCATAGTTAAATATATCTCAACCAGAATGGACATCTTGTAAAGATGGAAACAACCTGTGGGATTCTCTTAGCTATTCCATTTTTATTTGTTTTCTCCTAGTTAACTCTTTCGACCTTGTACAATTTTGTTTGTTGATGTTGTTTGGAAAGCAATGTGGTTTTGTTATTTTTACCTGCAATGCCATGTGTTTGGAATTTCCATTTCCTTTCCATGCCTCTCTTTCTATATCAAGGGCGAGGGACTCTAAGAAACATAATATGCTTCTTTTGCTGCTCTTATTATTTTTTAAATGGTAGGTGTCGGCTGACATCTTTTGATGCAGAGGACAATTCATGCATGCATATGTACTTACATTTATATGTATTTTGTTGCACATATTCTCTATTCTACAGTGAAAAATGGGGGAAAAAAAAAAACAATTGATGTCGATTCAATGCGAATATGTTGGCTTTTCCTTGGGATAATTATATAAGCCAGATACTTGTCATTTAAAGTATGGTACATCTAGGGATCTCAAAGTTGGCCTGATCACTACTTGTTGGATCAGGTCTTAAATGCTGTTCCAGAAGGTCATTTTTTTCGCTGATGATATCACTGTGTTTTAAAATTTCCAGTTTGGGCGGATGCCGATACGTGGTTTGAAAGGCAACAACAAGAAGAGGAAATGCAGCAGATTCAGGCAGAGAACCGTGCTGCAATGCAGGCAGCAGAGGAATTGCATAGAAAGAAAATGGCACAGGACAGAGAAGGAGAAAAAGATGAAGATTCTGAGATGAAGGATGATCCAATGGCAAGGGCTGAAGCAGAGGTTTTGAAGCAAAATAATAGCTCTTAGATATCAAAGCGAGTCCTGAACTGTTTACATTCTAACAGTTTTTGTTTTCTTTTTAATTTTAACAAATATCTGTACTCTGTCAGAACAGATGCTTATAACTATGGGAGCGGAAGAAATTCTGCATTTGTTTAGAAGGGCTGCTGGATCGTTTTCTTAGATCTTAGTTTTAATTCGTTCCTTTCCAATATGGGAAATATGCAATCCATGCAAATGTTTGTATCTTATCAAGTTAAACATACAGTTTCACTGGGTCATACTTGTACAGTACCCCAGGTAGCAGCTCAGTACAGGTTGATAAAATGGCAACTGATGGAGATAGTATTATTCATCAGAATCAGCTAAATTTTTCTTCGCTAAATTCAGTTGTTCCAAAATTCCAATTTCAAAGCATATATGAACTTGCGATCAATTACGAAGTTGCGTATTGCTTTATATAAAAAAAAAAAAAAAAACTGTTTTACAGAAAAAGTGTGATAAAAAGAAAAGAAAAAGGAAGGGAAATTAATGATGGAACAACGAGTCTACACGACTGTGTTTAGTCCATATGTAACGAGGCTCCCAATTATGGCCTTACCATGGTAGCCTTTTGTCTTGACTTACTGACTCAGATTGGTGGGAAACAGAAACAAGTACAAAACGTCTAACAAATAAATGGAAAAGTCATCCGATCTACTTAAAAAAATCATCGACAAGATCTCCTGCGTATTAACATTGAATCACAAAGCTTCACGGCATCTATATTGTCTCTCACATTATGTACCCTTACAATGTTTGCACCTTCTAAAACCCCAGTAGAGATGGAAGCAACAGTTGCAGGATCTCTCTCAGCAGCAGATGGCCGATTGCAAATTTCACCTAAAAATCTCTTTCTGGAAGGTCCAATCAACATAGGAGCATGAGACACAGCCAAACTCTTACTTGCAATCTCTTTTCGTATGGTTGATAATCCAAGAAGAATGTCCAAATTATGTTTGGTTTTCTTTGAAAATCCAATTCCAGGGTCAATAATAATTCTCCAAGCTGGGATACCTGATAATTCAGCATCTTTAACTCTCGAGTACAACTCAGAAGCAACTTGCTTACAAACATCATCATACTTCAAGTTCTCCTCATTCTGCATTGTGGACGGGTCACCTCTCATATGCATTGCAATGTATGGAACCTTAAGAGCAGCAACAACCCTATACATGTCAGGGTCCAACGACCCGGCAGAGACATCATTAACAATATGAGCCCCTTTGCTAACTGCTTCTGAAGCAACTTTTGAATAAAAAGTATCGACAGAGATGAGCTTCCTCTCCATCTCAGGCATTTTTTGAATAGCTTCTAAAACAGGAATCAATCTCTCTAATTCTTCTTCAGCAGAAATTAGAGCGGCATAAGGCCGTGTGGATTGTGCACCAATATCAATCATATCTGCTCCTTCTGATATCATCAAGTGAACCTGAGAAATTGCAGCATCTACTGATTGGAACTTTCCTCCATCACTAAAACTATCTGGGGTCAAATTAAGGATACCCATGACAGAGGTTTTCTCAGACCAGTCCCATAAGCGATCTCCTAAGGGTAAAACCCTTTTCATTCCTTCCTTTCCAATTAGGGACTCACCACCCAATTTCTCCCACATTTCAAAAAGTCCATTGGGCTGTCCTGAAAATGAATGCCAGCAGACAACTGTATCGCTTTCAACAGCAGATCCCATTAAATCTAACAATGGGGCAAGGACAAAGGGTCTCTCCCAAATTCTCTCATGAGGAACAGTAAGTATCTCAGAATGAATTCTGAATCTTCCATAGAACAATATATCCAAATCAATTGGCCTTGGACCATACCTTATCCCGACAGTACGACCCATGTCCTTCTCAATTTTCTTTAGTATTCCCAAGAGTTCATGTGGCCCAAGTTTTGTAACACCTCTAACAGCAGAATTGAGAAAGCGAGGTTGATCAGTTACATAGACTGGTTCAGTTTCATACAAACAACCATGCCTTGTGATATTTATTCCAGATTTCTTCATCAACAACAAGGCTTCATTGAAATTATGAAGTCTGTCACCAACATTGCTTCCCAGAGCAATCACTACTTCCTGCTCCTGAGAATGAACTTCCACTGAGGATTCTGTCGATGAATGGAAAAAGGAAGAACATGTTGCTGCAATGAAGATCAAACAGTTATCAGAGAACTAAATTGACCAACTTCTACTAAAGACAAAATCATAACAGATCCAAATATTACGTCTTTCCTTCACAATAGGCCATCTGCATTCTTGCATAGAACATCTCGATTTCAAGCAACCAATTTTTCATCCATTTGTGACCATATATCAGGGTAAAACCAATCAACATTTTTCAACTTCAAGCTACAAAAAGCCTGTTAGCCTTGCCTAACTCAGACACCACAATGCATATATTACACACATAAAAAACTTGAGTTTTCACACTGCTACTTGCATTTGACCACAATACAAATGATAATAATTTCAATCCATATTACCTCTACAGCACTTGGTGACAGCACCAACTCCACGCTTGGCGGGCAAAAGTAGATTGAGAAAGTTCATTATCTATGGCTTCTTCAAGTGGAGCTGTTAGCAAAACAGTATTAGTTATATTTTTAACCATAAAACTATTGTGTAAATAAATTGTGAAAAAAAAGAAGAAGAAGATGATTATTATCACTGGAAAAAGTTAATGGCATTAATCAGATCAGTTTTGTTTGAATAATATCCTAATGTAAAATATATGGTGAAATTTGCAGAACCATTTGCAGCAATTTAAAATTTAATTTCAGAAGCCTTAAGGTAGCTTCTTTAGAAAGGCCCAGAAATTTGGTAAAGCTTTCAGGTTTAAAAGAGACTTTCAGACAAAGTTTAAAGATGGTGCAAACAAAAAGAAAGAGAAGCAAATCACACTAGTTAAAGATGAAAGAGATTCGATGCAAAGCCTGTACCTTTGAAGAAACCAAACCCAGAATACGAAAAGCAGAGATGAGGCTTAACCGTTTCACTGATGTGAGGGCTTGGGCTGTGCTTATAATCTACATGGTTACCTAATGGAAACGTCGTCGTTTGCGGGTTGACCAGGCGTGGATCCTTTGAAGTCCGAACCCGTTATCTAGGGTAGGGACTAGGGAGTGGGTATTTTGAGGTGAACCGAACCAAAAAAAAGTCATATGAACCGAAGGGCGGGTATTAACTTATATCGGGTTATATCCGTTTTCTGAATCCGATTTTTTCCAGATCATCCAAGTTATGACAATAAGACCCGAATCCGAAATACCTGTAGCCTCATCCTCTTATACTTGCACGGTTGCACGTACTTCCAGCTTAAACCCCAGAGGTTTTGAAAGTGGCAAAACGTCTCTCATGGCTTCTCTCTCTTTCACTCATTTTCTTTCTCCGCCCAGGTAAGGTTTTGCTCTTTCACATTTCATTTAAATGCTAATCCACTTCCAAATTTTTGCCTTTCAATTTTCACTTAGATGTATGTTTAAGTGATTTTGTTTGTTCAAGCATGTAGGTGGGATTTAAATTGGCAGTATCGATCATCGTTTAACTTAATACAACTTCAGGATTTTAGATTAAATAATAAAAGGTGCCTTGCGGCTACTTCAAGGAAGAAAATTGTGGAGGCTCTAGCTCAGGAGGAAATGAGTGACAATGACGTAGTTGCAAAAAAGAAGACATCCAGGACATCTAAACGAGCTACCACCAAACGAACTAGGAAGAAACCAGAAACTGATGCGATACAGGAGAATTCTGAATTGGAGATAGATAAGATAGATAGTGATGCTTCAAATGAGGAAAGTGTCATTTCTGCATCAAATGAAGATACTAAGAAAACCCCACGAAGGACTCGAAGAAAAGGTACTGCGCATGTTGTTTCATGAGTACTTTGCTTGATTTCATGGATCTTAATTATAAGTGCTAAACCCTTAATACATTTATGTGTAGCTGCATCAGCTTCTACTGGTGTGGAGAAAGAAAAAACCAAGAAGAAAGTGAGGAGGAGAAAAACTACAAAAAAGATTGGTGATGTTACAGAGGATCAAGGTAGTGAATCTGATGTTAGTGACGCTGAGGAGTCTATATTCGTCACAAATGTAGTGGATGAAGGTGAGGGAGACTTAGAGTTGGAAAAGGATGAGGGAGAAGACATTAGCTTCACGTATGGTTGGCCTCCACTTGTTTGTTGCTTTGGATCTGCGAAACATGCTTTTGTGCCATCAGGAAGGCCAGCCAACAGACTACTAGATTATGAAATCCATGAAAGAATGAGTGATGCGCGATGGGCTCCAGAGAAATTTATTAGGGCTCCTGGGGGATGTGCAGCTAGTGTTGCAATAGCTCTAGCAAGTTTGGGTGGTAAGGTTGCCTTCATGGGGAAACTTGGGGATGATGAGTATGGTCAGGCCATGCTATATTACTTAAATATGAGTGATGTTCAAACACGATCTGTTCGCATTGACACTAGAAGGATGACAGCAGTGTCACAGATGAAGATTAGTAAGAGAGGTCGTTTCAGATTTACTTCTGTCAAACCATGTGCTGAGGATTCTATGTCTAAGTCTGAGATCAATATTGATGTGCTGAAGGAGGTAATAGATCTTTTGTTTCAATGGGTAATATTTCATGGTAATGTGGCTAGGGAAAAAGAAGTGAGTAATTGATGAATGTCTTGTTACTCCTATCTTTATGAAAGTTATGGATAAGAATTTTTCAAAGTATTATGGCAATTTTTTTAATCTGACCATATGATTTTTTCCTTAATATCTCTCTTCGCCGGAGTTTGTCTGATGGATGATTCTGACATTCTTGTTAACCTAACAATTACATTGTTGAAGATTGATAATTATACTATCCCTTCGTCAGTATTTTCTGTTGTGAGATCTGTTGGCTTTAGGCTGAATGCATTTAGTTATGCAGCTGTTCCATTAGCTGCTTATAAGCCAAAATCGGCCTAAAAGATCCTTAATCAATTATCCCTTGTGTAGATTTGATTCCAGAAAAAAATTGAATTTAAATGAATGACCTAATTTTCCATAGTCCAACTTTCTATGTTGCATGCCATTTGCTTATGTTTCTTGATTATTAAGCCTTGTGAATCTACTGACCATTTTAATGACTTCCATACAGGCAAAGATGTTTTACTTCAGCACACATTCTCTCCTTGATAAAAACATGAGATCAACTACATCGCAAGCTGTCAAGATTTCAAAGAAATTAGGAGGGGTTGTTTTTTATGATGTGAACCTTCCCTTGCCATTATGGCAGTCTGTTGAAGAAACCAAGATGTTCATACAACAAGCTTGGAATCTTGCCAATGTTATTGAGGTTACTAAGCAAGAACTTGAATTTCTATGTGGTATCAAGCCCAGTGAAGAATTTGACACCAAAAACAATGCGAGATCTAAGTTTGTTAATTATGAACCAGAAGTGATTGCTCCACTTTGGCACGAAAATCTTAAGGTTTTGTTTGTTACAAATGGGACTTCTAAGATACACTATTACACGAAGGAGCACAATGGTGTGGTTCATGGGATGGAGGATCCACCTCTGACCCCTTTCACTTCTGATATGTCAGCATCTGGAGATGGCATCGTTGCAGGTTCAATCTTGTTAATTTTTAATATTTATTGATGTGCAGGGCCACCAAGTCAGTGAAAGTCATGCTATTTTTACTCCATCAATTTTGTGAAGCTTATGTATGTAGGACCTGTTTGATCTCTACATTTGTGTGCATATCACTACACCCACTGAAAGACTATTATATGGTGCCTTATCAGAAAATTATGGGGTCTGTATGGACAAGCCTAAGAGTAGCAAAAAATAGTACGCCTTTTGTTTGTAGTGTTGTGGCTTCTGTGGAAATTCAGAGACAAGCCTGAGAGTCCATAAGCACTAGCTTACTCTTTAAATATGCAAAGCGCTGTGTTGATAAAATTGAATTCCAGCTTGGTTTAGTGCACTTTATAATAGTTATTCAGAGTTTTCATTGATAAAATTTACAGACCATTCCTCTTTGTTCTTATGTGGAAAGCTATAAAAATATTGGTGTTGCGTTCTTGCATCTTAGTATATCTGCATTGTTATGCTCATAAAGTGTCATTATATGGATGAAAACTGTAACATTTTATATCTGTTGAAATTTAAGTGAATGAAAAAAAAAAAAAAAAATTGATAAGAAAGATACCTTATAATATTGGCTATTTAGCTAGATATTCCAGTTTCAGTTGTTGATGGTACATTATGTAACAGATAATGAATTTATTCGAGGGCACTGATAAGCCTTAAATATTTTTTCCTGAAAATGAATTCTGTTTGATTCGATGCAAAGCCTGTACCTTTGAAAGAACCAAACCAGAATACGAAAAAGCAGAGATGAGGCTTAAACCGTTTCACTGATGTGAGGGCTTGGGCTGTGCTTATAATCTACATGGTTCCTATGGAAACGTCGTCGTTGCGGGTTGACCAGGCGTGGTCCTTTGAAGTCCGAACGTATCTAGGGTAGGGAGTGGGTATTTTAGAGTGAACCGAACCAAAAAAAGTCATATGAACCGAAGGCGGGTATTAATTATATCGGGTTATATCCGTTGTCTGAATCCGATTTTTTCCAGATCATCCAAGTTATGACAATAGACCCGAATCCGAAATACCTGTAGCCCATCCTCTTATACTTGCACGGTTGCACGTACTTCCAGCTTAACACCAGAGGTTTGAAAGTGGAAAACGTCTCTCATGGCTTCTCTCTCTTCACTCATTTTCTTTCTCCGCCAAGGTAAGGTTTTGCTCTTTCACATTTCATTTAATGCTACTCCATTCCAAATTTTTGCCTTTCTATTTCACTTTGTGTATGTTTAAGTGATTTTGTTTGTTCAAGCATGTAGGTGGGATTTAAATTGGCAGTATCGATCATGTTAACTTAATACAACTTCAGGATTTTAGATTAAATAATAAAGGTGCCTTGCGGCTACTTCAGGAAGAAAATTGGGAGGCTCTAGCTCAGGAGGAAATGAGTGACAATGACGTAGTTGCAAAAAAGAAGACATCCAGGAATCTAAACGAGCTACCCAAACGAACTAAGGAAGAAACCAGAAACTGATGCGATACAGGAGAATTCTGAATTGGAGATAGATATAGATAGTAGTGAGCTTCAAATGAGGAAAGTGTCATTTCTGCATCAAAAAAAAAAAAAAAAACTGTTTTACAGAAAAAGTGTGATAAAAAGAAAAGAAAAAAGTAAGGGAAATTAATGATGAAACAACGAGTCTACACGACTGTGTTTAGTCCATATGTAACGAGGCTCCCAATTATGGCCTTACCATGTTAGCCTTTTGTCTTGACTTACTGACTCAGATTGGTGGGAAACAGAAACAAGTACAAAACGTCTAACAAATAAATGGAAAAGTCATCCGATCTACTTAAAAAAATCATCGACAAGATCTCCTGCGTATTAACATTGAATCACAAAGCTTCACGGCATCTATATTGTCTCTCACATTATGTACCCTTACAATGTTTGCACCTTCTAAAACCCCAGTAGAGATGGAAGCAACAGTTGCAGGATCTCTCTCAGCAGCAGATGGCCGATTGCAAATTTCACCTAAAAATCTCTTTCTGGAAGGTCCAATCAACATAGGAGCATGAGACACAGCCAAACTCTTACTTGCAATCTCTTTTCGTATGGTTGATAATCCAAGAAGAATGTCCAAATTATGTTTGGTTTTCTTTGAAAATCCAATTCCAGGGTCAATAATAATTCTCCAAGCTGGGATACCTGATAATTCAGCATCTTTAACTCTCGAGTACAACTCAGAAGCAACTTGCTTACAAACATCATCATACTTCAAGTTCTCCTCATTCTGCATTGTGGACGGGTCACCTCTCATATGCATTGCAATGTATGGAACCTTAAGAGCAGCAACAACCCTATACATGTCAGGGTCCAACGACCCGGCAGAGACATCATTAACAATATGAGCCCCTTTGCTAACTGCTTCTGAAGCAACTTTTGAATAAAAAGTATCGACAGAGATGAGCTTCCTCTCCATCTCAGGCATTTTTTGAATAGCTTCTAAAACAGGAATCAATCTCTCTAATTCTTCTTCAGCAGAAATTCGAGCGGCATTAGGCCTTGTGGATTGTGCACCAATATCAATCATATCTGCTCCTTCTGATATCATCAAGTGAACCTGAGAAATTGCAGCATCTACTGATTGGAACTTTCCTCCATCACTAAAACTATCTGGGGTCAAATTAAGGATACCCATGACAGAGGTTTTCTCAGACCAGTCCCATAAGCGATCTCCTAAGGGTAAAACCCTTTTCATTCCTTCCTTTCCAATTAGGGACTCACCACCCAATTTCTCCCACATTTCAAAAAGTCCATTGGGCTGTCCTGAAAATGAATGCCAGCAGACAACTGTATCGCTTTCAACAGCAGATCCCATTAAATCTAACAATGGGGCCAGGACAAAGGGTCTCTCCCAAATTCTCTCATGAGGAACAGTAAGTATCTCAGAATGAATTCTGAATCTTCCATAGAACAATATATCCAAATCAATTGGCCTTGGACCATACCTTATCCCGACAGTACGACCCATGTCCTTCTCAATTTTCTTTAGTATTCCCAAGAGTTCATGTGGCCCAAGTTTTGTAACACCTCTAACAGCAGAATTGAGAAAGCGAGGTTGATCAGTTACATAGACTGGTTCAGTTTCATACAAACAACCATGCCTTGTGATATTTATTCCAGATTTCTTCATCAACAACAAGGCTTCATTGAAATTATGAAGTCTGTCACCAACATTGCTTCCCAGAGCAATCACTACTTCCTGCTCCTGAGAATGAACTTCCACTGAGGATTCTGTCGATGAATGGAAAAAGGAAGAACATGTTGCTGCAATGAAGATCAAACAGTTATCAGAGAACTAAATTGACCAACTTCTACTAAAGACAAAATCATAACAGATCCAAATATTACGTCTTTCCTTCACAATAGGCCATCTGCATTCTTGCATAGAACATCTCGATTTCAAGCAACCAATTTTTCATCCATTTGTGACCATATATCAGGGTAAAACCAATCAACATTTTTCAACTTCAAGCTACAAAAAGCCTGTTAGCCTTGCCTAACTCAGACACCACAATGCATATATTACACACATAAAAAACTTGAGTTTTCACACTGCTACTTGCATTTGACCACAATACAAATGATAATAATTTCAATCCATATTACCTCTACAGCACTTGGTGACAGCACCAACTCCACGCTTGGCGGGCAAAAGTAGATTGAGAAAGTTCATTATCTATGGCTTCTTCAAGTGGAGCTGTTAGCAAAACAGTATTAGTTATATTTTTAACCATAAAACTATTGTGTAAATAAATTGTGAAAAAAAAGAAGAAGAAGATGATTATTATCACTGGAAAAAGTTAATGGCATTAATCAGATCAGTTTTGTTTGAATAATATCCTAATGTAAAATATATGGTGAAATTTGCAGAACCATTTGCAGCAATTTAAAATTTAATTTCAGAAGCCTTAAGGTAGCTTCTTTAGAAAGGCCCAGAAATTTGGTAAAGCTTTCAGGTTTAAAAGAGACTTTCGGACAAAGTTTAAAGATGGTGCAAACAAAAAGAAAGAGAAGCAAATCACACTAGTTAAAGATGAAAGAGATTCGATGCAAAGCCTGTACCTTTGAAGAAACCAAACCCAGAATACGAAAAGCAGAGATGAGGCTTAACCGTTTCACTGATGCGAGGGCTTGGGCTGTGCTTATAATCTACATGGTTTCCTAATGGAAACGTCGTCGTTCGCGGGTTGACTAGGCGTGGTTCCTTTGAAGTCCGAACCCGTTATCTAGGGTAGGGACTAGGGAGTGGGTATTTTGAGGTGAACCGAACCAAAAAAAAGTCATATGAACCGAAGGCCGGGTATTAACTTATATCGGGTTATATCCGTTTTCTGAATCCGATTTTTTCCAGATCATCCAAGTTATGACAATAAGACCCGAATCCGAAATACCTGTAGCCTCATCCTCTTATACTTGCACGGTTGCACGTACTTCCAGCTTAAACCCCAGAGGTTTTGAAAGTGGCAAAACGTCTCTCATGGCTTCTCTCTCTTTCACTCATTTTCTTTCTCCGCCCAGGTAAGGTTTTGCTCTTTCACATTTCATTTAACTGCTAATCCACTTCCAAATTTTTGCCTTTCAATTTTCACTTAGATGTATGTTTAAGTGATTTTGTTTGTTCAAGCATGTAGGTGGGATTTAAATTGGCAGTATCGATCATCGTTTAACTTAATACAACTTCAGGATTTTAGATTAAATAATAAAAGGTGCCTTGCGGCTACTTCAAGGAAGAAAATTGTGGAGGCTCTAGCTCAGGAGGAAATGAGTGACAATGACGTAGTTGCAAAAAAGAAGACATCCAGGACATCTAAACGAGCTACCACCAAACGAACTAGGAAGAAACCAGAAACTGATGCGATACAGGAGAATTCTGAATTGGAGATAGATAAGATAGATAGTGATGCTTCAAATGAGGAAAGTGTCATTTCTGCATCAAATGAAGATACTAAGAAAACCCCACGAAGGACTCGAAGAAAAGGTACTGCGCATGTTGTTTCATGAGTACTTTGCTTGATTTCATGGATCTTAATTATAAGTGCTAAACCCTTAATACATTTATGTGTAGCTGCATCAGCTTCTACTGGTGTGGAGAAAGAAAAAACCAAGAAGAAAGTGAGGAGGAGAAAAACTACAAAAAAGATTGGTGATGTTACAGAGGATCAAGGTAGTGAATCTGATGTTAGTGACGCTGAGGAGTCTATATTCGTCACAAATGTAGTGGATGAAGGTGAGGGAGACTTAGAGTTGGAAAAGGATGAGGGAGAAGACATTAGCTTCACGTATGGTTGGCCTCCACTTGTTTGTTGCTTTGGATCTGCGAAACATGCTTTTGTGCCATCAGGAAGGCCAGCCAACAGACTACTAGATTATGAAATCCATGAAAGAATGAGTGATGCGCGATGGGCTCCAGAGAAATTTATTAGGGCTCCTGGGGGATGTGCAGCTAGTGTTGCAATAGCTCTAGCAAGTTTGGGTGGTAAGGTTGCCTTCATGGGGAAACTTGGGGATGATGAGTATGGTCAGGCCATGCTATATTACTTAAATATGAGTGATGTTCAAACACGATCTGTTCGCATTGACACTAGAAGGATGACAGCAGTGTCACAGATGAAGATTAGTAAGAGAGGTCGTTTCAGATTGACTTCTGTCAAACCATGTGCTGAGGATTCTATGTCTAAGTCTGAGATCAATATTGATGTGCTGAAGGAGGTAATAGATCTTTTGTTTCAATGGGTAATATTTCATGGTAATGTGGCTAGGGAAAAAGAAGTGAGTAATTGATGAATGTCTTGTTACTCCTATCTTTATGAAAGTTATGGATAAGAATTTTTCAAAGTATTATGGCAATTTTTTTAATCTGACCATATGATTTTTTCCTTAATATCTCTCTTCGCCGGAGTTTGTCTGATGGATGATTCTGACATTCTTGTTAACCTAACAATTACATTGTTGAAGATTGATAATTATACTATCCCTTCGTCAGTATTTTCTGTTGTGAGATCTGTTGGCTTTAGGCTGAATGCATTTAGTTATGCAGCTGTTCCATTAGCTGCTTATAAGCCAAAATCGGCCTAAAAGATCCTTAATCAATTATCCCTTGTGTAGATTTGATTCCAGAAAAAAATTGAATTTAAATGAATGACCTAATTTTCCATAGTCCAACTTTCTATGTTGCATGCCATTTGCTTATGTTTCTTGATTATTAAGCCTTGTGAATCTACTGACCATTTTAATGACTTCCATACAGGCAAAGATGTTTTACTTCAGCACACATTCTCTCCTTGATAAAAACATGAGATCAACTACATCGCAAGCTGTCAAGATTTCAAAGAAATTAGGAGGGGTTGTTTTTTATGATGTGAACCTTCCCTTGCCATTATGGCAGTCTGTTGAAGAAACCAAGATGTTCATACAACAAGCTTGGAATCTTGCCAATGTTATTGAGGTTACTAAGCAAGAACTTGAATTTCTATGTGGTATCAAGCCCAGTGAAGAATTTGACACCAAAAACAATGCGAGATCTAAGTTTGTTAATTATGAACCAGAAGTGATTGCTCCACTTTGGCACGAAAATCTTAAGGTTTTGTTTGTTACAAATGGGACTTCTAAGATACACTATTACACGAAGGAGCACAATGGTGTGGTTCATGGGATGGAGGATCCACCTCTGACCCCTTTCACTTCTGATATGTCAGCATCTGGAGATGGCATCGTTGCAGGTTCAATCTTGTTAATTTTTAATATTTATTGATGTGCAGGGCCACCAAGTCAGTGAAAGTCATGCTATTTTTACTCCATCAATTTTGTGAAGCTTATGTATGTAGGACCTGTTTGATCTCTACATTTGTGTGCATATCACTACACCCACTGAAAGACTATTATATGGTGCCTTATCAGAAAATTATGGGGTCTGTATGGACAAGCCTAAGAGTAGCAAAAAATAGTACGCCTTTTGTTTGTAGTGTTGTGGCTTCTGTGGAAATTCAGAGACAAGCCTGAGAGTCCATAAGCACTAGCTTACTCTTTAAATATGCAAAGCGCTGTGTTGATAAAATTGAATTCCAGCTTGGTTTAGTGCACTTTATAATAGTTATTCAGAGTTTTCATTGATAAAATTTACAGACCATTCCTCTTTGTTCTTATGTGGAAAGCTATAAAAATATTGGTGTTGCGTTCTTGCATCTTAGTATATCTGCATTGTTATGCTCATAAAGTGTCATTATATGGATGAAAACTGTAACATTTTATATCTGTTGAAATTTAAGTGAATGAAAAAAAAAAAAAAAAATTGATAAGAAAGATACCTTATAATATTGGCTATTTAGCTAGATATTCCAGTTTCAGTTGTTGATGGTACATTATGTAACAGATAATGAATTTATTCGAGGGCACTGATAAGCCTTAAATATTTTTTCCTGAAAATGAATTCTGTTTGCTAAAATCTGTTTTGTTGACACATTTTCAGGTCTCATGAGAATGTTGACTGTCCAGCCAGATCTCATTACTGATAATGACTACTTGGTACGCACACTCAAGTATGCTATTGACTGTGGGGTGATAGATCAATGGAAGCTTGCAAGGACTCGTGGATTCCCTCCTAAAGAAGATATGGAAGAAGTGGAACCTGATCCAAATGGCATAAGATCAATATCAGAAATAGAATACCGCACCGTTGTCGAGGCTGTCAGTTGATCCTGTTGTTAGCACAGTTCATATGTTCAATTTTGTTATATGCCTTTCCATGGAAGTTTCTTTCTAATGTAAAGAAATCAGAGTCTTTTCTACTACGCCCAACGTTCTGGGTTTCTGAAGGTAACTTTAATTGTGTAAAACGAAATTTTTGTTGTACGATTAGACATAGAGAATTGGTAGTTGCCAGGGTCCCTTAACAAGTATTCTGTGTCTCCATTTCTGGAACTGTGACTTAAATCATATTTTTTCTGGAAAAAAGGTGATGGATACTTGTAATAACAATATCAGTTAGAGGGTTGTGTTGTTAGTGTTGTTCTCCATAACTCTTCGTAGACAATATATGTTTACTTTTTCTAGTAACTACTATAATTTTTCAGTGTGTTTTTATTCATAAATCTCAATTAATTTTCTGCTTTATTATCTTACTCTTCATTCTTAAATTATTATACTTATTGGTGTAGTTTAACCAAAATTCTATGTCAAGTAAGATATTATAGTGGTTATATTATATAGTACTTGAGATTTGCATCATTATTCTTGGTTGATGGTTAGCATTTCTTCTCATGTATTTAAGTTGGGTCTTAAATTGCAACTTTTTAATCTGACCCCCTAATATGTTGGCCATTATTATTAATCCCTTAAAACCTTAAGTCTGGCAGGATCAACCCTCGTAGTAAAGCAAAATGTTAACCATTACCATGATACCAATTGGGATGAAAAGGACTTGTTCCAGTAAGAAGATAAACTAAAAAATGATAAAAGTATTAAAGATATAGTTGAGTTAGGTTAATTGTTTTGTTGTGGATGTCAAAGTTGGCTCTATTAAAATACTAATACTTGTAGATTGATTATGTAAGCCACAATGAATGAATAAGAGTCGCTTTCTTGAAAGAGATGGCATGGGATGGGGATGATAATAATGGAGGTTAGGGGAAGAAGCTAAGCTATTATTTAAACAGAGTTGGCTAGAATTAGGGTGATGTCAGAGGTTTTAGACTAGGTTTAGTTTCCTACTTAATACAGTGCTAATCATATCCATAATCCCAATTATTATCAAACTAATTAAACTTACATCATTGTTTTTGTCACACAGCATCAGCTATTAAAAATCCTCTCATGTAGGGCATGCATTCCCATTGAAGACGGAACCCCCATCTTTATAATTGTGCTTAACCCCAAATATGGAGTTATTTTAAGGGTAATGTTATTTGTACAAACTCTTCGTACAAAGAAAGTTTGTACAAACTGACATGGCACACTATGTAAGTGCCACGTGACATGAGGGTCCATATAACATTAATGTGACATTAAGTTATGTGGATCCTAATACCACATGGCATGCTTTGTGATGTGTCACGTCAGTTTATACAAACTTAATTTATACAAAGAGTTTATACAAATACCATTACCCTTATTTTAACAGAGTTCCACGAGATCTTTTCTACCTAATTTGATATTATTAATATTAAGTGTTTCACAAGTTTATAATCATGCTGCATAATGCATATATTAGGAGAGGAAGAACATAAACGTATTGGCAAATTATATTTCAACTCAAACCCAGTCATTTCATTTTCATGCACGATTTGCAGATATTTTATGGGTTTTTCTTCCTGGCTTTTCCTGGTATAAATGCAGATATAGTTGTTGTTGATGCAGTAGAACAGTAGTGGTTAAATGTTTATATAGAAGAGTAGAAAACCCAATCTGAAGATAATCTGAAGATAAAAGCTGATAAACAACATTGAGATTTCATTTGATCATATAGAAGAGTAGCATTCTTGACAAAATTGACAGAAACTATGAGAAACCAGGAAAAAAAAAAAAAAAACTACTTCATCTCATGAAAGAGATGTCCACTATATGAGGAGCATAGAGGGCCTGCTCTTCTGCATTCTAATCCTCTGGCCTTCCCATCACTGCTATATCTGACTTTCAGTCACTCTCCCAAACGAATCAGAACCAGGAAAAAAAGAGGCTTTTTCATAGAGGCCCCAAATTTATTTACCTCATGTTACAGAAAGGATCATCACACTACACAACCCCACTAAAAATGAGAGGAGAAAACCCAAAGTGAAGAGAATTCAACCCAAAGCAAAATAAAAGGAGCAGCAACTAATGGAACAGAAAAGGATCAATTGTTTCAAATCCCTCCATTAGGACCACTACTACATACAGACGTCCACTTTGGCAATAAATCTCTAGGCCCTACTTGCAAAATTCAACACTTACAAGTTTTGATGCAGCCGGCTTGTCCAAAAACCAAACCAACTTCCCTTTTGTTGGCTGAACCATTCGGGAAGGCAGTACCGGGCAGTCAGGTCCCACATCATCAATCGCCAAATGTACCGCCTCTGCTTTGCTTTCACCTGTCACAACCACGGCTACATTTGATGCTGAGTTGATGACAGGTAAAGTGAATGTGATCCTCTCGGGAGGGGGTTTAGGAGAATCGGTGATAAAAGTTACCCATTCGTCTTTCTCTTCAAGCAGTGAGTGGTTAGGGAATAGGGAGGCAACATGGCCATCAGAGCCCATTCCAAGAAGGATAAGGTCAAACTTTGGGCAGTCACAAATATCAGAAACACTGACCATCCGTGTCTTCACTAACTGTCGAATGACAAACCCATAATCATCAGCGGCCTGCTCTGCAGACACTGAATCATTAATTGAATGCACATGACTAGGGACTATCGGCACCTGCTAATATGATATGCATCAGATAATGAGAACATATACAAAGCGCTGCATAAATTATTAAAAGATAATGAAACAATAAACAGCTGGTACTTCAGTACAGTACATTCAAGTATCTTATCTGAAAGGCCACAGTATTCTCAAGAAAGTTAATGCACAAACTTAGAAGATATGGGGTACCTAATACTTCCGGACTACACATAAGACAGACATACCATATATCAAGAAAAATATTCAAACCAAAATCATGAGAAACATTCTAAATGCCCAGGTTTAAGTTTAAGCTGGAATGCTCTAGTTTTCTACATCTCCAAACCCTGTTCAAATTTAGCACACTTAGTTCCTCCACACACACACACACACACACACACACACACACACACACACACACACATTAAAAGAGAAAGGGAGAGAGAAAACTGCTCAAAAGGTGCTGTAACACTTGAGTAATAGATATGAGTTTTGTTGAGGATTGCGTTATCAGTAAATAATGACTAACAAATCAAGAAATATAACTTAATGAATAAAATAAACAAACTTCACCTTCAATTTGACAAAACTATTATATATGTGCCAAGCTCTACCTACACTTCCTCTATATTCAAAGAACTATAACTCGGCTGAAGTATAACTGAAAGGATCAAAATATACAATATCCACTGTAAATCCTGAATTCTTGAGAACCATATATTCATCTAAAAGTCCAGAAATGCATGAATCATTCATTCAGTTGATAAAGTTTATACTCAAAGAATTAAACTTAGTACCTCATTACAGGTTTTCAACCCTTTTCCCTACGATTAATGTAGATATCATAATTTAAAAAAAAAAATTATTTGTATCTTCCCATTTCAATGACAAACAAAATGAGGGATGTGAAATCTTTGGGGTTAGACTGCATCAATATGATAGAAGTGGAAGTTATTTTCACTTGGAATGCTTGGCAATAAAATCAGGGATGTGAATACATTTTGCTCAATTACTTGACAAAGAATGGTGGATGTTTCAATAGTAAAACCTGATGTATAGGACCAGTTCTCAAGTTACAAAGATAAAAGCTTGAGCATATATGGGGAAATATAACTTAAAGCAAATCTCATTAAGACTCAATTAGTAGCAGGTAATGAAATTGAATTTCCAAACATTCACCCCCTTGACAAGCTTCCACAAATTATAAATGGCAATTCACTTAGTTTTGCATATTCCTATTAAAAAATAGGTGGGAAAGTATGTCAATTTGAAATCTCTGATGAAGAATTATGCTTCAATTTAAGAGGTATCAAGCTGTTTCTCGGAGTTCCTACAAAAAGATTGCCATAGAGAAGGGCAGAAATGTACTGTAATTGCTGTCAATGATTTCTATTTAATCAGAAATGTGTGTTTTAAAAAGCCAGCATAGGAATTTAATTACAGTAAACCTTATAATATTAAAAGTCTGCACTATTATTATCAAAAACAAAAGGTAAAACATCCAATGTTCTTTGTCAAGCATTTGTGAGCTATAAAAAAATAGATCCAGCAACATCCAATAGTAGTGAACTGGTTAACAAAAAAGATTAAATTGAAAAAAATTCAAAGGGTCCAATTGATTAACACACTTCTGAGTAGCTGCAAAGTTCATCATATTTGAATGTTCATATCAGATAACAGCTGTAATATAAAGAACATGGGACCAAACACAAACCTGGAATAGTCAGTGAAACTGAACAATTATCAAACATACAAGAAACTAAAATGGATACACTACATAAGCAAATATACTTCCGTCCACAAAAATTTGATTCCAAATCACAGCAGGGCACGTCATGATAAATGGAACTAAAGTAGTCAACGCCTACCATGGGAAAATATTACACAATCCAACTGCATATTTGACTGATTACTGACATGAAAAAAGCTAAAAATGCAGATGTTTAGAACCACCAAATGCATATGCAGAGCGGTCAACCTCTAGAAACTGAATGGGACGAAGACCAACCTTGAGGCCAGTTCATACTAACCCAACATTAATAACCTGAATGCACTTGCTTCAGAAGGAATACCACAACAATCAAATAAAAAAAATCTTTCTTTTCTTATTACGTGAATAGAGGAAACAAAATGCTACAAATGCTAGAGAGGAAGAGCTAGTTTAAGGATTTTACTTCTCTTGAATCTTTCTTACAGTCAAACACAGGACATATAGAGAGAGACAAAGAAGTAGGAGAAAGAGAACATGGAAGGACATACAAAGTTAGGGTACAAACCTTTGATAAAAGACCATCCTTTGCAAGCTTATAATTGCTATCAGCATGATTTTTTGCGACCACACGTTCATCTGCCCAGAATATATACCATTTAGCCCAGTCCACAGTCTTGTTATAAGGAGCTTCGCAGAGTTTCCTGTTTCCCAAAAGAAATTTAAACCAAGAACACCAATATCTCAAAATCGAAGAATCAAATATGAAAAGGGAGGCATTGATACCCCATTAAGCCAATGAGAGAACCACCAGATAAAGCAATGGCAAAGACACCCCGCTCCTTCACAGAAGCCTCTGATAATTCAGCAATATAATCTGCCAAGTCAGTAATAAGCTCCTCTAAACTCTCATGAATCCTCAACTCCCCTCTATCTCTGTGAACCCCAACAAGAGCCATGCTTTGGACAAGCTTAAGAACTCTATCATGAAAACAACAGGATACCAAATTCAGATTGAAGAAATATAAAAATAAAATGCAATATTACATATAAAAAATTAACTAAAACTACTTCAGCATCAATACTACGAAAATAACAAAGGTAAAAAACAGGTGACCGTTTCAAAGAAAACGGAACCACCACCTCAAAGATCATGAACACCAACTAAATCCCAACCTCTGTAAGGACAATGATCAAAAAAAAAAAAAAAAAAGGAACCACCACCTCAAAGATCATGAACACCAACTAAATCCCAACCTCTGTAAGGACAATGATCAAAAAAAAAAAAAAAAAACTAAAATTCTCACTTAGAATCAATGAAACAAGATTATAAACAACTTTTGTCATAAAAGCAAACGGATCATGGTATGCATGGAATCACAGTTGACCTGAACAAAGCAATCCAACCAAAAGGGTATGACCATTATCATCAAGAAAAATCACAGATCCATGTTAAAACACATCAATCAATTTAATATACGTTAAACAGAACAATTTCACAGCAAAAATAGACATACCCAGATCATAAAACAATCTCACATTACAACAAGAAAATAAAAAACCACTCAAAGATTACAGAAAACAATAAAACAACAAAGAACCCACATGCAATCTATAATTCCAGTAACTGCAACACAAAGACAAAGCAGAATAATTAAATACAACAAAGAAACACAGTAAAAAAAAAAAAAAATGCTTACAAAGAAAAATAATGAAAACAGAGAGGTGGCAGAGAGAAGTAAGAAACTGACGAGATGGAAGATGGGTATCAACACGAAACCATTATATAATAATAATAATAATAATAATAACATTTAATGTTGTATAAAATTAATATAATCATTTATATATATATATATACACACACAAAAATATATATACTCTCCAATCCATTTATTGGTTTAATTAATAATAAAAGCTTCTCTTCTCTTGTTGACAAGAAGTTGAGAAAGAATTTACCTTCAGGACTTCCACGTGCATCCAATGATCGTGACAAAACACACAACAATACAAGTAAATGGATAAATATTAGATAGAGATTACAAATTTATAATTTCTTTTTTTTTTTTTTTACAGATGATGAGAAAATCTCTCCCACCTATAATTTCTGCTATAACATCTGTCAATAAGTAAACAAAAAGTTAAAATAATTACTAATTTTTTTTATTTATAATTATATAAAAAAAAAAATTTAAAATCAGTCAATTATATTTTACCCTATTACATTATATAAAAAATATTATATACATATTATTATACAAAAAACTAATACTGTAGCCAAATAATAATTGTTATTGTTCATTTTTGGAAAAAAAAAAAAAAAAAAAGAAGAGAATGACAAACACCTGTCCAAAGGACAGGTTGACAATGACCAATTGTACTTATGTTGTAGTAAGAAATATTTTACTGTTTTATTAAAAGAGAAAGAAAATCTAATGCTTTTTCTTTTTTAATTATCTTATTGGTTGTCTCCTCAAAACCAGCTAATTTCTGTACGCATTTTGTGTCTTCCATGAGCTTCTTGATACAAACCCCAATGTCCCCTTTAATCTTTGGTTTAATTACTTGAGGGCGAACGACTTGTACATACCCAAAGTTTACTGTAATGACAAGTTGATACCTAAAGATTTTGAAACGACAAATAGGTACTTTCCGTCATATTCTGTTAGTGAGTTTTGTTTATTAATAGTGAAAAGACTAAAATACCCTTCAAAGTTTCAATTTTTGTTTTTTATAAATTTAAAAATTTCTAAAAAACCCCCTAGGTTGCTAATTAATTAAACACCCCCATATATAAAAAGTTTGTTAAATGACAAAAACACCCCCACCACCCCAATGCCAGATTCCGCCACCGTCGCCGAATCTGGCCGAAAACTGCATTACGACACAGATCCCCATCGATCTGTGTGGCCGTCGAAGCAGCAGCCAGATCTGGCCTTTTCCGGCCAATCCGTGGCTGATCTGTGCCGAAAAAGGCCAGATCTACTGCCATATCTGGCCGTCGACGCCGCAGATGGAGTTTTGCGGCGTCGACGGCCAGATCTAGCCGTAGATCTGGCCTTTTCCGGCCAGATCAGCCACGGATCTGTCGTCGGAAAAGGCCAGATCGACGCTTACGCACCAGATCCGACGTTCTGTGTCGTAATGCAACTTTCCGGCCGATTCCGGCGGTGGTGGCCGGAATCTGGCACTTGCCGGTGGGGTGTTTTTTTGTTATTTTATAAAACTTTTTATATTGGGTTATTTAGTGAAATTGTAACTTAGGGGGTTTTTTGAAATTTTTAAATTTATAAAAACTAAAATTCAAACTTTTAAGGGTATTTTAGTCTTTTCACTATTAATAAACAGTAATAACAGAAATCACTAACAAACATACGGAAAGTATCTTTGTCATTTTAAAATCTTTTGAGTACCAACTTGTCGTTACGATAAATCTTGGATATGTACAAGTCGTTCTCCCTATTTGAAAATCAAAGTATTATTATATATTTTGAATGTAAGAGCCATGGATTTGAATATAGACAACGGTTGATGATGTGAAGCCTCATAATTGTTTAGTTTCTGCACCACCATATAAAATTCAGTAAATTAATAAATTAAAAAAAATGATGAAGATTTCAAGAGATCAGATGAACGATTTGGAATCTTCCTATCTCTTTCTGCAATCAATGTCAAGCAATAATTAAAAGGAAGATGAATTGAAGAGAGAGTTTAAAGAAAAAGGTCAGAAATAATAAAGGCACTCAACAAATCGAAACCCCACATCATGACAAATCAACACTTCTTTGGCTCGGCTTTGAGGAATCTGACAACTAATCAAAACAATTCATAGAACGCCTAAAAATTCTTTACGAAAATTCTTGTTATTTTAGAAAGAGTAAACAACATTGACTCACCCAAGGTTTTGAAAATTTACAGTTCCCACCCATGGTTTCATAAATACCGGATGCTCACCCTTAAATTAATACCATTAGTTATTTTTAGGTTATGATACAATATAAAAAGTGCTATTACAAAATTGTCCTTTAATCTTTTACTTTTGATTCAAAATAACCCCCACATCTCAAAAGCTTTTGGAGAGGCTTTTCTCTCGACGAGCTGCAGTGGACGTCACCATCGGTGATTTTCACACTTTTTCGATGACCAACTACAACCCTCACCCTCCTGGCCCCTCTCCTCATTGCGCCAACGCAGTTTCTGTCAACCCTACCCACAAATAGTTGCATTGTCGGCGTCTTCTTTTACATTGCGCCATTGATGCATCATCTAGCCGCTGTCATGACTTGTGCAAAACTTGTCGTGTTTGTTTTCGATCGTGTCATGTCTGTTTGCCTTTGTAGTGCCTACTTTTATCGGTTTTGCTTCGCGTCACGCAACACCGAGCCTACCTTGTGGATTGGTCTATTGTGCAACTTCCGTCCCTCAATCTTTGCGATAGTTGCGCGATTTGTGACTACGCAGGCACATCCTAGTTAGCTACAAATCCACTTAGGCCAGATTGTGGTCTAGGTCGAGATCTGCTTTGCCTCACCACCTCACCCCCATTTACGTGCCAGCCCCTTCCTCCCCCACCTCGTAGCCTTCCCCGTTCCATTTTCCTTTCCTCCCCATTTTTCTTTACTCTCTCTCTCTCTCTCTCTCTCTCTCTCTCTTTTTCAAACTTAGTGTAATATAAATGACCATTTTACCTTTTAATCGTTACATTAAACAATTTTTTGTTAATTTGAGAGTGAAAATCTGGAATTTATGAAACCACGGGTGGTAACTTGGAATTCGTCAAACCTTGGGTGGGTAAATGTTATTTACTCTTTCAGAAATTTTAATGGGTTGTTGAGAGTCAATAAAACATGGGGGAGATTTGTGATATTTGTGTGATTAACTCTTATCCGAAAGCTTCTGTAGTTCTGTTGGCCTCACTGACATATTTCGAAGGCTTCAATTTTACCTTTACATTGTTTACTTCTTTTTTGGGGGAGAAGCAAGAGCGATCACCCATCTCTTTTCCTCTCTTCTTTTTAACCCTTTTATATTCTAAACTTTGACAAATCAAAACAAAAATAACCCACTACTTCCATTCCTTTAACTACTTGAGAGGATACAAATTAATATTTAAAAAAAAAATTACAATTTCATAACATTATAATTATTTTTTTCAATAATTAGAGTGTCTAAGCTAATTTGTATGTACTTCAAATAATCCTTATGATCTATTAAACACTCTACAAACTTAATATGTCAGATAAGTCATAAATATAATATGTGGCCTCTGGGTAACGCACATTACTGCCTTCCAGCCACAAGCCAAGAAATACATTATGATTATTGTTTCAAGGGATAAAATTTCTAAAACTGAAATTCAGATGGAATATCTTATAATGTATTAGATTTCCATTTTATATTAAAAGTTGCTATGTTTTGTGGAGTGACAATTATGGATATTTGATTTTAGTCTAATTCCATGATTCCCACTTCACTACTTCTTCTAAATAAAGATAATCACCCACACATCACATGTAAAAAACAAAAAAAAATATTTTTTTTCTTTTTTTTTTTTTTTAAGATGAGTAATTATCATTTTCAGTCTCTTATTAAATTATTAATTACAATTATAAATTAATTATGGTCTGATTTATTTGAGGTGTTGTATTATTGCACAGAGAGTTTCTAAAGTCTCATTAAATGGAGAGATTGAGTAGCTGCTTTCCGTGATTGAAACCCACCCATTTAGAAACCACAAGTCAAGGGAATTTCAGGGCTGAAAATTAAGGACTTCGGCAAATAATGCTACGCGTACAATTTATTCATATAACGTAACAAACATAGGATAAAAAAATCATTTTATATGAATTCTGTGCATTTTTTTTCCTAGTTATATGATTCAGTTGTAAGCATTATATTAAAATTAATTGACCGATGAAATGTCCGATAATCAGGCCACTAATTGAAGCAACTTTAATGGGCAAAATTAAGATTAAAGGATTGGCCTGTTGGAATCTCAAGCTCCACATTGAATATGGAAAAATTTTACTTCTTCTTTTCAATGATTGAATTACATTACAATTTAGGGATGACAACAACGTTTATAGTATTAATAATGACCACTAATTTCGTTAATCATGCTTTTTCTCCTAACACTGGCGTATGGGAAACTCCCTTTTACAGTTTCTATTCTTTCAACTAACTCATTACTATATTTTGAAAAAACATAAAAAAAAAAAAAAAGAAGAAGAACATTTCCCATCTTTGCCTGTTTCAACAAATTAAATTCATTACCTGAATCCCTGTGATAAGAACTCACTCCCAAATTGATAAGAATTAGGTTAGATGGCAACGATCCTTTCGTTGGTTTAGGTAGAATTCTCTTTAGAAAACCAGTTTATCAAGGAAGGGTGTTAAAACCCTTATAAATCACATACCCACACCTTTTTCCTTTCAATGTGGGATCCTAACACCGTGGTTGCAAAAGAAGCCAAAATGAATAGTTTTAACAAAGTTTAATGAAACTGATCATCGATGTCTACACTTTCATTCTCTTTTGTCCAATCATTTTTTGATCAAGTGCACCTCCATTTCTTAAGTTTAATGCTTCATTTTCGCTTATCACGTTTTTCTCTTGTTGAATATGAAAGTAAAAAATACAAACAAAAAAAAAAAAAAAAACTTTGGATGTTTAAGGGGTTTTCCTCGACACGAATGAGATAAACATGAAGAGAATTTCTCGACACAAATGAGATAAACATTAAGAGAATTTATGTGTGCATGGATAGGAAAATCACACAAAAAATAAGAAATAAAGAAAAAAAAAACTATAGATATTATGCGATTGGCGGGATTCAAAAT